TCTCTCTCTCTCTCTCTCTCTCTCTCTCTCTCTCTCTCTCTCTCTCATAGTCTGCTGATGCAATGAAGTCAGATATCGAGAGGGTGAGAGGGAGATGGTGGACTGAGAAGAGGAAGAAGAAGAACTCTCTCTCTCTCACATATGCCAGGTACTGACCTGTGAAGGTGGCGCTGTGCTGTAGGTACCTTGAAGACGAATCTGGAGCGATGGCACCGCAGGTAAGTCCCCCGGGCCTCCGCCCAATCTCTCTCTCTATGGTACTACTCTAGCTCTGGCGCCCAACGCTGAAGACTACTGCTAGCGCTAATACTACCCTGCAGCGCTCCTCCAGAGTGCTGCTGCCGAATCCTGAAGACTACCTCCTGCCTCCTGAAGTGCACATGAAGTGCCTGGGAAGTACCTATGAACTACCTACCGGCCTGCAGGGTGGGCTAGTCCTATATAGTGCTGGCCCGTCCAGGAGGCTGCTCTTGCCAATGCCTCAACGTGCCAGACACTGGGGTTGAAGCTCAAACAAAGGTTGTCTTGAAAATAGGCCAGAAATGGCCTGAGCTAAAACCCTGGTCTGGTGCCTGAGTTTCGGGGCAGGCCGAACTCATGAGGGCCCGGAAATGGCCCTCAGTTTCAGGCTGAAAACACTCGGGGCCGGAAAGGCCCTGATTTAGCCTGAAACGACACAGGGCCTGTAGGCCCTTGTTTTCAGGCTTTCAGGCTGAAACGACACAGGGCCTGTAGGCTGAAACGGTTTTCACCTGTCAGCAGTAGCGAGTGAAGATCCCAGGGCTCGATCCCTAGTTCTCACCTTACCTGTGTACAGTATCTGTGTTGACCCCGAGTGTTTGAACCCGTGACCTGTGTTTTGACAGTTGTTGTTGTCTGTCGTAGGTCGGTGTAGGGGTAGGGGTTTGATCTGTAGACCTATCAGATAGGAGTCCTAGTGAGTTCTAGAAGTCGTAGCTGTAGCCTGTCCGAAGGGTCAAGGTCGTAGCTGCTACAGTCCTGAAAGGTCAAGGTCGTAGCTGCTACAGTCCTGAAAGGTCAAGGTCGTAGCGTTGGCAGTGCGACTGCAGCGAGGTTGCAGTCCAACCCGATGCAGTCAGCATTACGGTCCAGTCAGTCCCAGTCCAGTCCAGCAAGTACCATACGGGACTGTGTGCACAATGGGCCAAGGGAAAAGAGAAAGACCAGCGAGCTGCAGAAGTATAAAGTAAGAGGCAGCGCCCAGCCATTCATTCATTCCTGCGGAAGCCATGCGGAAGCGCTGCCATAGTGACTTGTGCGAGGTGGTCTGCAGAGGCGCCTGGAGTCGAAGTGGACTGAAGGCGAGTAGGGTAGCCATAGCAATAGAGTAGAAGCGGCCATAGCCGCCATAGCTGGTAGTGAAGTGCATTGTGTGTGTGCGAGTGTTTAGAGTGTGTCGTGTGTGGGCCCTGTGGGGTATCCAGGGTGATCCTAGTTGAGTGTGCGTGTACAGCAGAGTGAGGCACAGTGACGAACAGAGTGTTGTACAGGCGCTGTTGCGCCATAGCCATTTGAATCGAGAGTGTATCTGAACTGTGCCCGTGGTTACCATATCTCTGAGCTTTGAGTGGGCGCTTGTCGCCAGTTTGCTGTATTGCCTGTCTACATGCATGCGAAGTGTGAATGATTGCGAGTCTGATTGCACTGGTATCGGAGCTGGTACCCGCTACCTCACGCGCCATCGCCGTTGTAGCAGGAGGGAGACGCGCGCCATAGGGCGCCATAGCTGGAGTGCGTCGTCCTGAAGAGGGAGTCCACCATAGCTGCGCTGCGGAGGAAGGTGACGCGTAGCTGCACACAGAGAGAGAGAGAGAGAGAGAGAGAGAGAGAGAGAGAGAGAGAGAGAGAGAGAGAGAGAGAGAGAGAGA